ATATGTTATGAAAATAATATTACGTATATTAACTTTATGATTTATTTTTTTTTCGATATTAGAGTCTACTATTAGGTTATTATATTTGTAAAATTCGAAAATGATATTAGTTTTAAGATTGATTTAATAAAACTTTCTTTGATATTGGAATATAAGATTATTCGAAGTGCCAGATACTCTCCACGGCCTTCTATATAACATATGTTATAAAAATAATATTACGTATATTAATTTTATGATTTATTATTTTTCGATATTAGAGTGTACTATTAGATTATTATAGGTGTAGTATTAGAAAATGATACTAGTTTTAAGATCGATTAATCGAATTTCGATTTATTACAATATTCGTGATATTGGAGATGTATATTCTTAGATTATTAAATACGTTTTGATATTTATGAAAAAAAAAAAAACAATATATAAAAGTTGATGAGAAGAAGAGGGAGGGGGGAGAGGAGGGGTGATGACGTTGTTGTTAATTTTATGATATATTATCGTAAAATTATTAGAATATATGTATATATTTCATTGTTATAATTTATATTCCTTATGTAATAATATATATTTTATTCGTTACTATTTATGTTTATATTCATTTGTAATAATATATGTGTATATTTCATTGTTATAATTTATATTCGTTTGCAATAATAAATATTTTAGTCGTTACACTTTATATTTACTTGAGGTAGACAAGATGGGACCAGTTCAGACATGATATCGTAGAATGTCACAATATATGTCTATATTTATGTCGTTACACTTTATATTTACTTGAGGTAGACAAGATGAGACCAGTTGAGACAGGTCCGGACCTGTCGAACTTAAAAATGAAAAAATACAAATTAGGATTAAGGATTAGGATTAGGGATTAACATTAGAGATTACGGATTAAGATTAGGGATTAAGATCAATCAAAATAAATTATATTGGTCACGTGGTGTACAGGTGGTTAAGGTAAGAATAGCCCAGGGTCCAAAGTCCAAAAGTGCTCCCCAAATTCTGGGACCAGAACCGCCATTTATACCCTACTGTTATGTATTGTGGTATTTTTAGGAGCTGTTTTCTGGTCAGTTGAGTTTCCGTTATTAGGGCTACATCTATGTTCTTGTCTTGTAGTAAGGCTGTTAGTTCGTGTATGTGATTTCTAACACCATTCGCATTCCAAAGGAGAATGGATATGGGTTTGATGGAAGTCATTTAAGGATTTTTTAAAGGAGGGATAAGGTGAGATACTAGGTTAGTGAGAAGTGATATCAGTGGGGTAACAAGGGATTTAAATTCTGAAAGAAAGGATGTCAATAAGCTGGTTAGATCTGTAGCATTAGCCGGTGGAGGAACATATTGGATTTGATGTTGGTGAGGTTGTTGTTGATTAGGTACATTAGGTGGGATAGGATATTGAGATTGGGGTTGAGTTTGTTCTTGCGGCAGGGCCTCACATTCATTAGTCGGGTCTCTACCCCCAAGTAGCTTGGCAAAAGAAACCTTAGAGTTCACAATTTTAGCGGGTCCTCTTCTTCGTTTAGGTGTATCATCAGGGTCCCTGGGTTTCATATATCTCGTTTTAAGATTTTTTATAAATTTGGCAGCCTTTATAGTTGGCTGGATGGCCTTCCAGGCATAAGGCACAGACTGCTGGTTCTGTAATTGGTTTATTACACTCGCCAGACTTGTGTGTTTTACCGCATTTCACGCAGCGTGGGAAGTGGTGGCAATAAGACTTGGTGTGGCCATATGCCTGGCAATTATGGCACTGGATGAACTCTCTTTTTGGGTAGGGTTTTTCGACCTTTACGCTGGTCTAGAAAATTCTATTCACATCGTATATTTTTTCGATCCCAGGCGATGGCTCTCGATCGACGAAAAATAAGGGCAATGGGGTTTTATTCTTTACACCTGGTTGTTCTTTATTTTCTTTTAGTACATTGGTTATCTGACGTATTTTGAACCCCAACGCCGTTAACTCTTCTTTAATCACTTCTGTTGGGGTTGAGGAGTGTAAATTTCTTATTACAACTCGTAGTGCTCTTTCCTGCTTCAACTGGTATGTGTGAAAGTCCGCGTTTGTGTCTGTTAAATATTTTACGATTTTTCGTTACGCTTCAGGTGTGGCCGGTATTATTTTTGTATCATTGGTTCTGTTTAGGCATGTATAGCTACCTTGGCAGATTTTATTAAGTTGAGTACACAACAACTGGAAATTTCTCAAATTTTTGACAAAGATAGGAGGTGGGTGTGGTTCTCGGGGTATAGGTGCATCTTCCATCTCTTCCCTGTCATTTTCAAGCACCTGGTATGGATTAGGTGTAAAAAAGGGAGATTCCATTTCTTGTGAAGACGTACTTGGCAGTGGTTGAGACACAGATACTTGAGTGTTCGCTGGAGGAGTTCCGGGGGGTGTTGATCGCTTACTACGACGTGTTTTCTGTTTAGGCGGTGAATTACGAGGGGTAGAGCCAACTGAATGGGACCTCTTAGTTGACATTACTTGGTGGTAATATCGCATATAAAAAAAAAGAAAGGGAAAAAAAAATAAATAAATAAAACTACGTCTGCGTGTTCTTATAATGGATGAACCGCCGACTGTGGACCAGTCAGTTACGTGGCTGGGCCACAACTGGAGTGGGGAGCCGTCAGCTGTTATGGCGATAGAGATAAAGCCTATAGACGCTAAACCACTAAATTCACTGTCTGTAATAGTACACAGTAAATAACAACACTACTCACTGTGGTGTTAGTCCATTGTTGTTGTTTTGATGTCAGCCTAACTAGTTTTTTTTTTTTAAGTAAAACTGAGCACTTATTCTACTAAAAAATAGTAAAACTGTGGGACACGACGTGAAATGTGGGCATTCAAAGCAAGCACATGCGCAGAACTATGTGACTATTACTGATGTTACTTGTTGATTGTAATTACCTAATTTATTGTACCTTTAATATTCTCGAGAAACAAAACATTATTATATCTACTATCTTTTAAACTAATATAAATATAACATCTCATGTAGATACATATTAATTATATAAGTGAAAGCATGCGCCATCAGCCTTGCGGGGGATGGGCACTCCTGAATTATGTAATTGTTAATATCATTTAGGTCTTATCCCTATTGATGTCGCATTACAGGGCTTTAATGCCAATGTTCAAAATATCTTCCTCTAAAGTACCTTTAATTTGGTTTATTTTAAATAATTAACTATCTCGCATTGTTATGAGTTATGAAAAAGGCTAAACATAACTTTTGAAAGAATTTGATAATTGCATAAAGAAGAAAAATAAATGCTAATCCAGGTCGAAAATGAACCTCCGGAAATAATAGTCAGATGATAACGGAATGTTACGAAAAAAAATATAATTAATAATTTATGAAAACTAACAATATTTAACGCAAATCACATGTTTTAAAGGAAATCAAATGCAATTTTCGTACTAAATGTAAACATTTGAAATTATTTAAGTTTGAAAAAAAAAGTATTTAATATCCACCGAATCATGGCAATTTAAAATACTATTTCATTCTACTTGTGTGAAAGAAGAAGTGAAATATAAAAATATTTCATGGATATCTTTATAACCTTAAATACATTTACTGCAGTTTAAAAACTCTAGATCTGATTTTATATTTAAATAAATAGGTATCTATCGTCCGTTTATTCCGAAAAATCATCATGTAAACTTTAAGAAAATTAATTTAGTGAATAATTTGATAAATTTTCCCTTTTTGATTTCCCAGTGTTCACTTACAATTAGTGTAACAACTTTTAATCTATGACAGGCAATGCAAATCTTGTAATTCCATTTTAGTAAACTTTGCAATATAAAATAACAGTTTAATAAATAATCGCCATATAATCCATAATCAAACGTTGATTTCAATTTTTTTAAATCATGAAATGTAGGATCAAAGGATCAAAGCAAGTTGACTATTTGCCTACTTCGTCAGAATTAGCCGTCTTCGTAAAATTTTCCTCAGTAACTCATAGAATATGTATCTCTCGACAGTGCCGACCTTAGACATTCGGCGCCCCCCAGACAATGGCGTTATCTCCACCCCCCTTCAAAAAAAAGTTATATTTATTTCTTAAGCTATTTTATATTATGTAATATTTGAATATTATTTCATTCAACAATTCTCTGTTATAGTTGCTTCATTAATAGGCTAATATCATTAATACGTTTTGTATTTTGTTTTAATTTCTAACAAATGGGCGCTCGACTGAAGATCTGCAGTGCGCTCCGGGGCAATTGCCACCATCATAAGGTCGACACTACAATGCTATTACATTCAATTTGTAACAGCATAGAATTTCCTTTAGATCTCATGGAGAAACGTTAATATTTGAGAAGATAGGGGACTGTAAAAGCACGTATTTTGGTTGCAGTTGCTGGCGCACTCAACTTAAACACTATACATCTTTTCAATTCGTTGATTCGAATAATTTATAACAGTACAATATAATTTACGATGCTTCTAAGCGACAACTTTTCTTTTGAGATTATTCCGGTAGCTAGGATAGTGGCAACACAGACGAGCAATCCTGCAACTAGGACACTGTATGAGGTGGGGAATAATTGGTTAATATCGATAGTTAATACTATTCCTTTAAAAATTTCGTTACCAACTTGTAGAAAAATTAAAGAGCAACGTTTGTTGCCATATTATTCTTGTTGACAACATATCCCGTAGGCTATCGCTAAATATGAATAGATGTCAACATTTGTTGTTGTTTTTGTCTATGTTTGTTGACACCTTTTGTTTCCAGCCTTTTTGGTAACAAAATATATTTGCATTATTTGGTGTTAATGTGTCATAATATACCAAACTGTTAGCCTGATATTTTGCATCTCAGAAACACTGTCACAAAACAATTCGTGTTTGAAATGATACTTTTCAGTGTTAATCAAAATGTTACGTTTAAGGATATCGTATGCTTTATAAAGGTATGAATTAAACTTATTATAAACGTCTAGGAAACACCATTTACAAACTTACAGGTTCATAAATGTTCTTTTCCAAGTGGATTAGATGAGGGTCTATTAAACGTGGGTGTCTTATCCCGCATCTTTCTTGTCCCGATGAACTGTTGCTTGCTATTATATGATATTTGTTGAATTTTGGTATAAAAACGTGGCGTTCTAGTCGTTTAATATAGTTTTCTTTTGTAGGTTTAGTTCTCTCCATTTTAATATCTGTTGATTGGTAATTAGGTAATTGATAATACATCACAAAAGCTTTCTGGGTTATTCAATAATTGTGGTTAAATCCAATTACAAAACTCTAATAAGAAAGTTTCCATGGAATAATAACATTGTTATTTCAACAATGAGTTATTTTTAAAATTAGGTGAATATTACTTGTATTAAAAATATTTGTTTATATCGATCAAGTCTAGCAAAAATGTCTAATTCATTATTGAATGTTTGACAAATAATAATAATAAAAGGCTTAGCGAATGTTCGATGCCGACACCACCAATCGCTTATTACACACCTCCTTCCACCGTTCGCCATCCAAACCTAGTCCCTTCAGATCGGCTTTAATGCAATCTTCCCATCTTCGCTGCCGTCTACCCCTCGGACGTTTGCCATTCGGTACAGCAAATATTTACCTTTTAGGAATTCTCTCGTTACTAAGCCCAACAATTTTACAAACCCATTTGATTCGCCGTGATGAAATTACCTCAATTATATTACCCGGATACAGTTCACACAATTCGGCGTTGTGTAACCGTCTGAACTCTCCGGTCAGCTCATTTTTCTTCGGTCCGAATATTCTACGCAATACTTTATTTTCAAAAACCTAAAGACGCTGCTCATCCCTTAATGTAAGCGGCCAAGTTTCGCATCCATAAAGAACTGTAGGTAAGATAATGGTTTTATAGATTCTAATTTTTAAGTCCCGGAATAAGAGGCGCGAGCTAAGTAGTTTTCGCACAGAAAAATAAGCATTTCCCGCCTTCAGGCATACCTATTTACACTATTTACAGTCGGTCATGGGAACTCCGAACCATACTTGTCCCCCCACATGTAGAGGGGAAGCGAGGCTTCAGGAGATCCCTGCGCTTCTTCCTCAACCACTTCACTGGTATTAAAAGCCAGCGGAGATTGAGTAAGGGCGCTACAACTACAAACACTCATGACTTGATTCCAATATATACATGTTACAAAAGGTCACGGGGCCACTGCCGTTTTAACCTGCGAGGAGGATTGTAGGGATGAGTGGTGCAAGATAGGGATTGTGCTATGGGATTAGGGTGATGGGTAAGGTTTTGCTGAAATTTGGAGAATTTGTCGGGGATAAGATCAAGAATAAATGGAATATTAAGGTCATTATGCAGGGTTTTATTGGTGAGATAGAAGGGAGCATCGGTTATTGTACGGAGGACTTTGGACTGGAAAGATTGAATGCGTTTGATGCTAGAAAATTTGGTTGTCCCCCACAGTTCTATTCCGTAGGTCCAGATGGGTTTTAGTATTGTCTTGTAGATCAGTAGTTTGTTTTCAATAGAAAGTTTAAATTTTCTATCAAGTATTCTATATAGCTAATCACCAATAGTATCGCCGTTTTTGCAGCTAACCATATATTTTGTTTTATGAGCGGTTATTTCGAGCACTAGTTCTTTACCGGCTTTCATTAACGTTGTCGTATTTAGTTTTATAGTTTCCACGTCTTCGCTTAACAGTACCAGATCATCAGCATAGCCCAGCACGGATGATCTATTGGATCTGGATGTTGTCCCACCCAAATCCAACCCTTTTTCGGTACGCATTACCTCCCTAATGGCATGTTCTAATGCCAAATTGAACAGGACAGGCGAAAGGGAATCCCCCTGTTTTAAACCCGAACGAACCTCAGATTTTTCGGACAGATTATTACCGATTCTAACTTTATTGAGTATTTCCGTCAAGCACATCCTGACTAGATTTACTAGTTTTTTTGGAATCTCATGCTCGATTAGAATATTATACAGTTTCTGGCGGTCAATAGAATCGTAAGCCTTTTTGAAATCGATATACAGCTGGTGAACAATAGGGTTGTACTCTATTTTTTTCTCTAATATTTGCCGTAAAGAAAATATTTGATCAATAGTCGAACGATTCCGTCTAAATCCGCATTGTTAGTCTCCGATAATTTCCTCGGCGTATTCCGTGACTCGACTAGTTAAGATTAAAGTGAATATTTTATAACATACCGGAAGGAGTGAAATTCATCGATAGTTAGTACAATCCGTCCTCGGGCCCTTTTTGTGAATTGGAATAAGAATAGATTGTTAGACAAATAATAAGTATAAAATAAAACTGGACATAGCCCTCAGTCAGCTAATATCTTCACTAAATCAACATACATTATGTGTAATATACATACCAATCTAACAACTGACTGCTTGTCTAGCTTCTCTAACAAAAAAAAAAAAAAAAAAAAAAAAAAAAAAAAGACTGTTCGTCTTGTCTCATTCCTTTTTTCACGGTTTCTATAAGCATAGTACATATTAATGATTTCGCATTTTTCTGGGCACGAACCGCTGCTACAGTCTTCTCGAGTGTTAACTCTCGTTTAGCTGTAATTCAAAGTATTCCTCCTATACGTTCGTTACTTTTTATTTTACAGAGCCATGTTTATCAGAGTACATATATGCAGGTATCGTTGTTTGTTGGTACCACTAGCGGATCCAGCAAGGGGGATTCTTCCCCCGGGATGGAGACTAAAAAATCCGAAAAAAAGTTCCAAAAAGCCAACAGCAAAAGCAACTGGCCCGCAGGGTGACCATAAAAGAGCTCGTTTTCGACAAGAAACAATGTATACATTTTTAAACTAGATTAAATTTACTGAAATTTAACACCAGTACAGGCTAAATAAATCAAATAGTTTACGAGATACAGGTTTTCAAATTTTAGAAAATTTCATTTTCCACTTAAATTATTATTCATGTTTGATCATATGCAATTATGTTTTATGTTCAATAAGCTGTATGATATGAGTCAGCGAAGTAAATATTTATTCATTTAAATATTTTGAAGGAGGGGGTGATGTAGGGTAGGAAAGATTTAGAGAAAGAGGGTAGTACGTAGACCAGACCCCCCTTCCGTGCACCTTCCCTCCACATTGTTATGCACTTGACGTAAATGTTGGTTAAATATTTTCTTTTTTTATTTTAATTTCAGTCTTCTAGTTGTGAAAAGTGATCTCCCCCTCTTCCACAAAACCTCCCCTCCTCCCTCACCCCTCCTTCAAAATATTAAAATGAATACAAATTTACTTCACTGAATGATCAATGACAGGTTATTGAAGATAAAAAGAGTTCTGGTGTTAAATTGTAGCATATTTAATCTAGTTTAAAACTGTACAGAGTGTTTTTTGTTGAAAACCAACTCCTGCGTGGTCAAAATGGGAAAAAATCCCGAAAAAAATGCGAAAATATAGCAGTTTTGGGGGTTTTAGATCTCTCCTCCAAAGACTTGGATTTTACATCTCAGTCACATCCTATACAAGAAAAAAAAAAAACCTTCTTCACCCATTCGATGCAACATAGACCCCCTTTCATGACAAGGTTACTAGGCTATTTGTTTGTAGCTGAAAATGTTTAAATTTGGAGATAAATTAACTTCGAAATTGATAAAAACCTCTTGAAGCGCATAATTTTAGATAACTATTTATAACTGCTATTAATATAATTACATATAATATTTTTTTTAAATAAAAAAACACAAAACATAGTTATAATTTATTTATTTGTAATGACTAACAAAATGTAGTGTAAAAATGTTCCATTTATCAATAATAAATATTCATTTTACAATAGTTCTTATGGAATAATAAACATTTTATTTTATTTTTATTACAATAAAAGTTTAAACACCATAGATACTTCTTCATATTCTCCGATGAAAAAAATACATATCTTTTTCATTAATTTTAAAGATTATATTAAGAATAACTGACACATCACATAAAGCTTCAACCAATTACTCGCAGATTAGATTTGTCTCTATGAAATTATAATGACATCTAAAAAGAATAAGGGTTAGTTAGAAATTACAAATATTATATTTTATTAATAAGAGACAGTAATACCTATTGATCTCACCTTTTAATTAATTTTAAACTTTAGTCCATTTAACGGTGTTGTATTTGTTTATTTATTTAGATCAGAACGAATGATTGTAGGCATTGAAAAGAAAAATATAAATGTTTATTTCTTATATAGATAGACAAAATTAAAATAAAAACGAATATTTAATATTAAATGTAAATTTAATTTTTTTTTTTTTTTGAGGTATTTGTCGATACAAATAACTACAGAAACTTATTCTTTATGCCCAATACAATTGTTAAAACAAATTTGAGAGCATGTCTAGTTATATAACATGTTAGTACATACCTAGAAATTGTTCCGACAGTTATACATACAGAAATAATTTTAAATATTTTTTTAATTACCTAGCTGGATCATGGCGGTGTGAATTAATACGAATGTCTCTTTAAAACTAAAAAGTAAAAAGACTCCTAAAAAGAAAAAAGTGATACATTTTTCGGAGGAAATCGGAGCTTTTTTTAATTCGCAGTATTGTAAAAATTTGATTTAAAAACATCAATTTTTGTTAACAAAAAGATTTAAAGTAAAACAATTTTTACACATTACTATATTCTTTTTTTCTAGCTAAGCAGAATGTCATTATAAAGTCGGAAAAGTTTCAAGAAAATAGTATTAATCACCAGTTTAAACCAAGCCATTTTATAAAACTTACGAATCGCACAAAATTCCATAAAATAGCTAGGTTTTCAATTTAACTATTCAATAAAAATAGTGAAAAATGTATATTCTGCTATCTAAAAATATTCTCCCGAATTGCAGAAGGCAACAATAAAACAGTTCATCAAGTTTTAGGAGTTCTAAAAAAAATAAAATAATTTTAGTCGATGTCACGAGTTTTTCATTACTCGTCCCACTGAGCGCCGCACAATAGTGGGCTATCTGAGCAATCTAGCGGAACAAAAATCGATATAAAGCAATTTGTTGTTCAAAATGGTATCTACTTAATTAGCAAAAGGATATTTAATTTCGAGAATGTTTTTGTACCCTATTAAAACATAAATTTCACAAGATATTTTATATAGTAAACTAAAAAATCACACTTTATTAAATATATATACACACATACAATTAAAAAGTTAAAAAAATTATATATATTTTGTTTTTGAACTTAATTTATGAACAAATTTAAGTGTATACATTTAATTTTTCTTTTTTATTATTATTGTTATTTTACTGTTG